CCAGACGTCCGTCGTCAAGTCGACGTCGCCGCTGTCGATGCGCGGCGAGGTCACGCCGAGCGGCTCCGGGTCGGGCTTCGTCTGGGACACGGAGGGCCACGTCGTCACGAACTACCACGTCATCCAGCAGGCCCAGAAGGCGACGGTGACGGGTCTGGGGACGGGCGACGCGGCGTCGATGGCCGCCTACGACGCGACGCTGGTCGGCGCGGAGCCGGAGAAGGACATCGCCGTGCTCAAGGTGCGCGCGCCGGCGTCCGTCCTCGAGCCCATCGAGGTCGGCAGTTCGAGCGAGCTGCTCGTGGGCCAGTCGGTCCTCGCGATCGGCAACCCCTTCGGCCTGGACCACACGCTGACCAAGGGCATCGTCTCCGCGGTGGGCCGCGAGGTCCAGGGCGTCGCGGGGCGGCCCATCAAGGGCTGCGTCCAGACCGACGCGGCCATCAACCCGGGCAACTCCGGCGGGCCGCTCCTGGACGCGAAGGGCCGCCTGATCGGCGTCAACACGGCCATCTACTCGCCGTCGGGCGCGTCCGCGGGCATCGGCTTCGCCATCCCCGTCGACTCCGTGCGCCGCATCGTCAACCAGCTCATCCGCTACGGCCGCATGCTCCGGCCGTCCATGGGCATCTCCGTCGCGGACGACCAGATGACGCGCGGCCTCGCGATGCGCCTCGGCGCGCCCCTCGACGGCGTCTTGGTCATGGAGGCGCCGCCGAACTCGCCGGGCGCCGACGCGGGCCTCGTCGGCTGCATGCGCAAGAACGGCCAGCTCTATTTGGGCGACCTCATCACGCGCGTCAACGGCACGCCCGTCAAGACCGTCGAGGACCTCCTCACGCTCGTCGAGGAGACGGAGATCGGCTCCTCCGTCGTCCTCACGGTCCACCGCAGCGCCGACGCGAAGAACGAGGAGACCCTCACGGTCAAGACCGTCGACCGCAGCCAGCTCGCGCGCTCCTAGGCCGCCGGCGCAGCTGAGAGGCGTAACTTAGGGACTCCAGGGGACGGGGTGGGGATCTTCAGGCGCCGCCCCACTTCCAGAGGTAGGTCGTGAGGACGGTCTTGATGTCGAGCGGAAGCTTCTCCTGGACGCACTTGGTGAGAATGGCGACGTGGATGTAGCGCTGCTGGAAGCGCGCGTACTCGTCGAAGCTGCCGGCCTTCTTGATGGCATCCATGAGAAAGCGAGTGGAATCATTCATTCCGTTCGAATCCACAAAATACGGGAAGTGCAGCTCTTGATGGAAGAAGCCGACGCGATACGGCTGAGGGGCCCCCGCCTGCGCGGCCGATCGGCGATCGGCGAGAAAGGCGTCAAGATCATCACTGGTGAAATCGAAGGGGTTTTTGTACTCGCCGTCGATGCTCACGACCCGGACATTGCCTTTGAACTTCAAATTGTAGTCATCGAAAAGAGGGCTGTATAGATCTAAACTGAGCAGCGTCCCAAAGCACGAAAACGGCTGAGGGTCCTCGTCACCCGTGAAGGTGAGCTCGAAGCGATCCGTGGTTTTGATCAAGGCCCCGGCTCGTAGGAGCGTGAGGACGGTGCGCCGCCGCCCCCTGAAGACAGGCCAATACAGCGCACTAAATTCACCCTTGACATCCCTCGATTGCTTCCCGATTTTAAATGACGCGTCGACGTCGGCGCCCGATTTGATGAGAGCGACGACGACTGGAAGTAGCCGACGCTCCACCGCGTCACGCGCCTCGTCCAGCCCGAGGAAAGGGAGATCGACTTTTTCATACAACTCCCTTGGCATTGTCTTGTCAAGCGCTAGCGTCAGCGGCGTGTGGTCTGCGCGGTCCCGCAGTTCTAAATCCGCGCCTGCTTCGAGGAGAGCGTGGATGGCTTCGAGTTGTCCGCCGTTCACTGCGTAGTGCAACGCGCGGTGCTTTCCAACCAACACGTTCGGTCTGGCCCCGGCAGTCAGAGCGCTTCGCAGGTGATCCATGTCGCCGCGCTCGGCAGCGCGGCACAGATCTCCATCGATTTTTCGCGGTGGCATCACGCGGTGCGCACCTCAAGCGACGGGCCCCGACGCACGCGCGGGGGAACGGGGGGAAGTGCTGAACTCACGAGGCTCGACGGAGCCTGCAGGGCATAAGCCGAGGGCAGCCCAATATCAGAGCCTCAACGTCGCTTCAAGATCGTTGGCTTTTTGCGTTGAAACCCACGATGGGCTGCCGCGAGGTCGTTCGGGCTTGTCGCGTTTCAAGAGCTCAGTGGTAATCAGCCTGCATCCATGGCCGACTTCATGGCGGCCCGAGACCGGCCGCTCGTGGTCAAGCCCGGTGGCCAGCGGCCCATGGTCGGCCCGCACCTGCCGTACGCCGAGGTCGACCCCTACGGGCCCGCGGCGCGGGCACTCGCGGCGGCGAAGAAGGACAAGATGCGCCCGGCGCTGCCCGCCGGCGCGGCGCAGCCCGTGGAGCCGCACCCCGTGATCAAGTCGACCTGGGTCGACCTCTTCGCGCACATGATGGACGAGGCGGACCGCGACGAGTTCGTCGAGCGCCTGAAGGAGCGGCGCGTCGCGGACCGCGGCCGGGACCTCCGGGCCGCGCGCGAGCTGAGCCGCATGGCCGCGGACCAGGACCGCAAGGAGGCGGCGGAGGCCGCGGCGGCGGCCATGCGCGCCGCGGGCGGGCGCGAGGCGCTGCGGTCCCTGCGGCGCCGCGTCTACGCGCTCGACGAGGACCGCGGGGCCGACGGGTTCGTCTCCAAATCCGCGGTCGCCGCGCAGCTCCCGCGCGAGGTGCGCCCCCTCGTGACCTTCGACGACGCCGGCGACCTCTGCCGGGGCTTCGACATCATCACCGCCGCGGAACTGGCGCAGACCAAGGCCGCGCGCGTCGTCCCCACCGTCGCGGCCGCGCCGCGCCAGCTGCCGAGCCACTGCGACCTGCGCAGGGCCTTCTACGACGCGGACCCCTACGGCAACGGCTACGCGTCGTCGGCGGTCGTCCGGCGGTCCTGGGCCGCGCTCCGCGGCGCGAACCCGCCCGATTCGCATCTGGCGGCGGGTCTGGACCTGTGTGGAAATCAACCACTGGTTTGGGACGTCCCGACCAAACTTTGAAATTCTCGAGCTCGGTCAAATCGACGTCGATTCGGCTGATTTTTGGACGAATCGATTGCTCTCGTCGAGTTCTCGAAGCACAGCGGAAGTGCTTGTGTCAAAACATTCGAATACGCTCACGGGTTGAAGATTTGATTTCCACACAGGTCTGGACGCGGCGCCGGAGCTCGCGCTCCGGGACCTCGAGCGCCTCCTGCTGACGAACGCGCACCTGCCGGCGGCGCGCGCTGAGAGCCGGTCCGCGACGTCCAAACTCGTCGCCGCGGCCCGCGAGCTCCAGCGGACTCCGAAATTCGACGACGCGGCGGACGCCGTCGACCTCGGCTCGCGGGCGCCGCTCGTCTTCCGGGACCAGCTCCGGCGCTCGTCCGCCGACGAGGCGGCGCGGCGCGCGGCCGCCGAGGAGCAGGCGCCGCGGGAGGTCGCGGCCGCGCCGCAGGAGGCGGCCGCGCCGGCGGACGTCGTCCCGGGCGGCCCGAGGCCCGGCCCTCCGCGCTTCGCGGGCGACGGCCGCGTGGCCGAGGGCGGCCGGCGCCGGTCGGCCTACGTCGACCTCTCCGACGGCGGCGCCCTCCGCGAGGTGCGCTTCGGCGTCCGCTTCCCCGACGACGAGCTGCCCGCGGGCGCCGCGAGGACCCTCGCGGCCGTCGTGCGCTGCGGCGGCGCCACGGTCGAGTGCGCCGTGCCCGTGCTCGGCGGCGAGAGCGACGGCCCCGTGCGGTCGCCCATCGTGCGCCTCTCGGCCGGCGGCGCGGCGCCGCTCCGCGTCAACGTCTTCGCCGCGGGCGGCGCGCCGCTCTGCTCCGCGAACCTCGCGCCCGAGGCCCTCGCGGCCGCGGGCGTCGTCGAGCTCGCCGCGCGGCCGTCCTTCCGCGGCGCGCCCGCGGCCGAGGTCGTCTTCGAGATCCGCGAGATTAAAGGGCCCCTAGCATGCGCGTCGTCGTCGTCGCAGAGCAGCCGCGTCCCCGTCGCGCGCTCGAACGCGCGCGCGCGGTCGAAGAAGAGGGACAGCGCGTAGGCGTAGAAGTCCGCGTCGGCGCCGCGCTGGAGCGACCCGAGGGCGCGGAGCGCCGCCGCGGACACGTTCTCCGCGCGGGCCTTGGACGCCCAGCGGTTCCGCGAGCCACGCGGGCAGGCGCAGGTCTTCGCGTCGTACGCGCCGCTGCCAAAGGTCCCGAACTGGTACGCGAAGAGGCACGCGGACTCGGGGAAGTAGTCGACGACGCCGAAGACCGACGCCGCCAGGTGCGCCTTGGCCTCGGCGAGGCTCGACGCGGTCCAGGCGATCGGCGCGTCGGGAGCGGGCGCGCGGCCGTCGCTCGTCAGGAGCAGCGGCTGCGTCGGCGCCGTCAGCGACAGGAGCAGCGGCGCGGCCGCGGCGGGCCCGCAGGCGTCGCCGCGCTTGGCGAGGCAGCCGGCGGCGAGGAGCGCGTCCGCGCCGCCGTGGCGGCCCCGCTCGCGGCCGTGGTCGACGACGCTGAGGCGCCAGCTCGTCGGCTCGCGGACCATCGTCGCGACGGCGGGCACGGCGGCGCCGAAGGCCCGCGTCGCGCGCCAGCCGGCCTCGTAGGTCGTGAGGCACGGCGCGGCCCGGAGCCCCGCGGCGCGGCGCGCGACGAGGCCTTCGAAGAGGTCCGGGTCGCCGAAGTCCGGCGGCACGTTTCGTTTCCGCCGTTTGTTTTTAGCGTACGCGAGCGACTGCTTGTAGTGCGCGAAGCGCATCGGGGCCCACTCGCAGAGCGCCTGGCCGCTCGCCCGCTCCGCGAGCGTCCAGAGGCTCCTCCCGCCGGTTTTCGGGATGTGGAGCGCGAAAATTGGCGTCGTCCGGTCCGGGCAGGGCATGGGGATGGTCGTGTCGGGGCATTGCTGGCGGCGCGCCTGCGCGACGACGGGGTCGTCGTCTGACCTGGCCTCGAGGGCCGCGAGGGCGACGAGGACGAGTCGCATCCTCGAGGAGAGCTTTGGTTTGAGCAATCGTCGCCGATCTGAAGTGGCAAAATTTACTCGTCGGAGCTCGTCGGACTTCACCACAAGGTCGCCGACTACCGCCGCGATTTTACGATCCTAGCAGGCTCCGCGCTCTCGCCCAGGCCTCGTCGACCTCTGCGGCGACGCAGACGTCCGGCGGCGGCGCGTCGGCCGCGAGCCGCGCGCGGACCGCGGCGACGGCGTCGACGTCCGCGGCGTCCCGCACGCTCTGGACGACGGCCACGTCCACGCCTGAAATGCCGCGGCAGTGCGCCGCGCGAGCGAGCGCGAAGTCGAGCAGCGTCACGTCGCAGCCGCCGTCGAGCAGGAGAACGTTGTAGGCGCCGCCGCGCACGACGGCGAGGATGTCGTTGCGCGCGCCGCGCGCGTCGCCGGCGACCGAGACGGCGCGGCCGACGACGCCGCCGCCGCGCCGAATGTCGCCGCCTCGCAGGCAGTACCAGTCGTCCGCCGCCTGCAGCTCATTGCTCAGCACGCCGTCGATTGGCGCTCGCTGGGCTATGAATTTCGCCGCGTCGACGCCGCGTGCGTCCAGCAATATAAGCGCCGACGCACTGCCGCATGTTGCGATGAGCCAGAGCGCAAAGGTACTGGCACGCATGCTCTCAAGGCGGCGGCCCATCTCGCACTTCACCATCGCATGATGCCAGCATCGAGCATGTATCGAGCTGCTCGAATCGATCGAGGTGTGGGTGCCGATTCAAAGCGTCGGCGCCGGGCGGCCGGGCGCTGCGACGCCAGCTCAAACACCAAAAACGATGGCCAGTCCATCGCTGCGCCCGGCCTTCGACCCGGCAGCAGCCGGCGCGGCCATGAACGCGAAGCTGCTCAAGTTCCAGCGCGAGGGCGTCGCCTTCGGCCTGCGCGCCAAGGGCCGCGTGCTCATCGCCGACGAGATGGGCTGCGGCAAGAGCGCGCAGGCCATCCGGCTCTGCCTGCACTATTTCGCCGAGTGGCCCGCGCTCATCGTCTGCCCCGCGAGTTTACGCTACACGTGGGCGCACGAGCTGGAAAAATGGCTGCCGACGCTCGCGCCGAGCGAGATCAGCGTCGCCAAGGGCCGCAGCGACAAGGAGGCCGTCTGCCGCAAGGGCATCAAGTTCTGCATCGTCACGCAGTCGCTCTTCACGGAGTCGTCCGGCGTCGCGAAGGCCGTCGAGGACCGGAAGTTCCAGGTCGTCGTCGTCGACGAGTCGCACGGCCTGCGGACGCGCGACAGCCAGCGGACGAAGCTCCTGCTGCCGATCATGAAGGCCGCGCCGCGCCTCGTCCTCCTCAGCGGCACGCCGGCGCTCGCGCGGCCCGTCGAGCTCTTCTCCCAGGTCCACGCGATCGACGGCGACGCGTTCGGGACCTACAACAAGTTCACGAAGCGCTACTGCGCCCCGTTTAAAGGACGCTTCGGCTGGGACGTGTCCGGCGCGTCGAACGTCGAGGAGCTCCACGGGAAATTGGCGCGCGTCATGGTGCGGCGGTTGAAGCGCGACGTCCTGAGCCAGCTGCCCGAGAAGCGGCGGCAACTGGTCGCGGTGGACGCGGCCGGCGCGGCCTTAAAGGAGAGCCGCGACGCCGTGCGCGCCCTCGGCGACGCGTCGGCGGCCATCTCCGCGGCGTCGAACGACGACGCGTGGGCCGCGCGGGGCGAGAAGAACGTCGCGCTCGGCGACGCGTGGCAGAAGAGCGGCCTCGCGAAGGCGCCGGCCGTCGCGGCCTACGCGCTCGAGCTGCTGGCCAACGAGGGCGCGAAGATTCTGTTGTTCGCGCACCACGTGGCGGTCCTGGACGCGCTCGAGGCGGACCTCGTCCGCGGGCTGAAGGGGAGCTCCGCGCACTTTCGCATCGACGGATCGACGCCGCCCGCGGAGCGCCAGCGCCTCGTGGAGAGCTTCCAGAACGACCCCAAGGTGCGCTGCGCCCTGCTGTCCGTGACGGCCGCGGGCGTCGGCCTGACGTTGACGGCCGCGAGCGCCGTATTGTTTGCAGAGCTCCACTGGACGCCCGGCGTCTTGGTGCAAGCGGAGGACCGCGCGCACCGCATCGGCCAGCGGTCGAGCGTCAACGTCCACTACCTCGTGCTCAAGGACGAGAAGGACTCCGTGGACATGGCGTTGTGGCGGTCCATCGCGCGCAAGGTTTCCGTCGTCGGCGCGGCGCTCGACGGCGCGAAGAAGGCGACGCTCGGCGCGACGGCGGCGACGGCGACGGCGTCCGCGTCGGGCTCCGACGAGCTGACGGCCTTCTTCGCCGACGAGGCGACCAAGGCGACGCGGGTCGTGAAAGGCGACATCCGGTCGTTCTTCGGCAAGGCCAAGGCCGCCGGCGGCGCGAAGCCGGCCGCCGCGGCGAAGCCGGCCGCGGCGACGCCGGCCGGCGCGGGCGCGGCGACGCCGGCCGCCGCGAAGGCGCCGGCGGTCCAGGCGGCCGCCGGACCCACCGCCGCCAAGGTCCCGCCGCCGCCCGAGGCGAAGCGGCGCAAGTCGTCCGCGGCGTCGGGCCGGTCGGCCGACGACGCCGTCGACCTCTGCGCGTCCGACGAGGAGGGCTGGGCCTGCGGCGCCTGCACGCTCGTCAACGACGCGGACCGCGGCGCCTGCGAGGCCTGCGGCGGCGAGCGGCCCGCGCGGCGGACGGCGGCCGCGGCGGCCGCGCCCGCGCCGCCCGCGCCCGCGCCGGAGGCGGCTCCCAAGGAGCGCTTCGCGTTTACCGTTTCGTCGAACACGGGCCGCGCGACGGCGTGGCGCGCGCCGCCGGGCGGCGCCTTCGCGTCCCTGAGCGTCGCCTTCGACCCGCGCGCGCTCTGCGACGGCGCGGGCCGCGTCATGGACCTGTCGCCGGCGGACCTCGGCGTCGACACCGCGGCGGCGGCGGCCGCGATCAAGCGCTTCGTGGCGTCGTGGCTCGCGCTCCGCGCCGTGGACCGCGCGGACCTCTGCGGCGACGCGCTCCTCGAGCGGCCCCTCGCCGCGGAGCTCGCCGCGCGGCGCGCGGCGCCGGCCGCGCCGTGCTTCGACCGCGGCGCGGCGCGGCCGCGGAAGCGGCCTCGGGAGGACGACGGCGGCGGCGACGGCGGCGCCGCGGACGACGGCGCGTGCGCCTGGTGCGAGAAACAACTGCCCGACGGCGTCGCGGGCGAGGCGGGCGCGCCCGCGTTCTGCGCCTGGGCCTGCTCGGCGGAGTACAAGCTCCGGCGGCCGAACAACTCGTCGGCGGCGCGGTCCCAGCTCTTCGCCCTCGAGCACGGCGTCTGCCAGGCCTGCGGCCTCGACGCGCACGCGCTCTACCGCCGCATCAAGGCCCTCGCGCCGCCGGAGCGGTTCCAGGTGTTGCTCAACACGCCGGGCTTCGCGCCCAAGGGCGGCCGCGCAAAGGACCGGCGCCTCGAGGACTGCGTCGAGGGCGACTACTGGCAGGCCGACCACGTCCTGCCCGTCGTCGAGGGCGGCGGCTGCTGCTCGCTCACGAACCTGCGGACGCTCTGCACGCCCTGCCACGCGAAGGAGACGGCCGCGCTCCGCCAGCGCCTCGCGAACGCGAAGAACGCCGAGCACGCCAAGGGCACGAAGGACCTCCGCGCGTTCTTCAAGCCGAAGTAAGGGCGATTCGTGTGTGCCAGTGGGCCGTGACGCACGCTGGCGGGCAGGCCTCGGGGGCGCAAGTGGGGACGCGCGCCGCTCAAGCTGATCATCCCCGGCCATGGCAAATCAGAGCATTGATGCATTCCTCGAGGGTCGGGCTGCGATGAGCGTGTCCCCGACGCTTCGTGACCGCGTGGACGCCCTGTGCCAGACGCTCTCGCTCCAGCCCGTGACGGACGCCGGGCTCGGGCTGCGCGAAGCGCTCGAGCGCTGCGCCGCCGCCGCCGGGGTCCGGTACGAGTCGGTGAGCGCGACGCTGGAACTCCTCGAGCTGGAGGTCCTCGGCGTCTCGCCCGGACCGGCGCCGTCGAAGAAGCGGGGCCGCGACGAGTCGCCGCCCCGGCAGGAGCCCCGCGCCGAGCCCAAGGGCCGCGGGGGCTCCGCGCTCCTGGCCTTCGCAATCAAGGGCATCGAGGAGGCCGCGACGCTATACGGCGCGCTCGGCGTCGACGAGGCCGCGGACGCGGCGACGATCAAGAAGCGCTACCGCGAGCTGGCCCTGACCGTCCACCCCGACAAGGGCGGGAGCGCGTCCGCCTTCAAGATCCTGAACGAGGCGAAGTCGACCCTCTGCGACGAGGACGCGCGCGCCGCGTACGACCGCAGCCTCCGGGAGAGCCGCGCGCCGGCGCCGGCGCCCAAGCGCCGCAAGATGTCCGGCACGCCGAAGCAGCCGCGCGCCGACGCCCCGCGGGGCGGCACCAAGACCGGCACGGGCCCGTGCGACTGCCGGGGCTGGGCGCTGTGGCTCGGCTCGAAGCCCGCGGAGAACCCGTGCGAGGGCGGTCCGCATCACGACTGTATTTGTGACCTTCGCGGTGGCGCCTCTGATGATCAGTGCAAGAGCGATGACTGCGCGTGCTGCTGCATGAGCTTTGCGTTTCACGCCGCGGGAGAAGCTCGCTGGGGCCGCGCTCCCGGCAAGAACCCGTGCCGCGCGCGAGACCACAGATGCGTCTGTACCACGGACGCGACCGTTTGCAAGAGCGACCAGTGCATGTGTTCGTGCATGGATTTCGCTTTGAGCGTTCGCCTGGGACGCGTCACGGGCCGCGCTCCCGGCAAGAACCCGTGTCGCTCGCTCGGCGGCCGTTCGCACCGGTGCATCTGTGGCCTGGGGCACGCGGCCCTGTGCAAGAGCGCGAATTGCATGTGTTCATGCATGGATTTTGTGATGGAGCGTCGTTTGCGTGGTGGCACCCGCATCAATGCGTGCCGCGGCCACTCGCACCGATGCGTCTGTTATTTCGGTTCCTCCAAGGCGTGCCTCGCGAACCACGCTCCGCTGGAGCAGTACTATTGATTTCACGACTTCCTCGCCACACTTCTTTCTTTGAATCTGCGGCGACAAAATTTCTCATATTTTCCGTCTGGCGGCCCGACCGGGCCTCCGGATCAGCCATCTTATCAAGTCATTCGCGTGTCATCGAAGAGCGCGCGGCGCGCCGCGGGGTTGCCCAGCCCCGGGGCCTGCAGCCGCGCTCTGAGCTTTCGAGCTCCGTTGCACTAGTCTAAGACTCATCCGTAGAACGTGGCGGGGCGCTGTGGAAATGTCGATAACTTGCGTTCAAGTTGTCCTGCAACTTGGACAGCCCTGTGGCTCGGGACATCCGTCTCGTGCGCGGTCGCCTTCCGCGCTGCGCGCGCCGCCAACATGACGAGCGTCACGCTCCACTTCGACGGTGAGAAGGACCGGAAGCACACGATCAAGATGGTCGTGCCGCCGTCGTGGGCCGACAAGCCCTGCGCGAAGGTCGCCAAGTACTACGCGAAGTCGTTCAACGCGGCCCACGCCGACAAGCCCGTGGACCTCGCGAAGCTGCGCCTGAGCTGCGACAGCGACCGGAGCTTCCTGGACCTCGCGTCGCCCGTGGCCGCGGCGCTGCGCGACGGCGAGGCCTACTCGTTCAGCGAGCGCCAGCCGTCCGAGGCGGAGACGAAGGTGTTGTACACGCCGGGCCTCACGGAGAAGCCCGAGCCGCCGAAGCCGCTCACGTTCCCGCGGCGCATGAAGGTCATCGGCAAGGGCCTGCTGCTGCGCGCGGCGCCGGCGCTCGACTCGGGCAAGCTCGCGCAGCTGCCCTTCGAGGCCGTCGTCATGGCGCACGAGGTCGCGGAGCTCCCCGACGGCACGCGGCGCGTCCGCTGCGGCGCCGACGCCGCCATCCCCGAGGACGCGCCGGAGACCGTCGTCTTCGACGCGGACCGCTGGCCCTGCGAGGGCTGGGGCTCCGCGAAGGTCCTCGCGGAGCTCGTCCACCCGCGGAAGCCGGGCAAGCCCCAGCCCCGGTCCCCGGCCTACCCCTGGAACATCGACAAGGACGGCAACTGGGACGGCGTCGTGCCCCAGCCCACGTGCATCTTTTAAAATTTTGGAGCAGGGAGTGCATGTTGAACTCGGTTGATGTCGATGAAGCCGCTGACAAACAGGCGAAGGCTGAATCCCCGATGCTGCGCGCGGCGCTCGCGATGGCCTTCCTGGCGCGCCGCGCCCTGTCCCTCAGCGCGACCGCACCGAAGAAAGTTGTGACGCTGGGACGGGGCAAGTCGAAGCTCTTCCGCAAGGGCAACCCCTTGATCTTCGCCGGCGCCGTCTCCTCCACGGCCGGCGACCCGCAGCGCGGCGACGTCGTGGACGTGGTCGACGGCGCGAACCAGAACGTCGGCTGGGGCACCTACAACCCGGACAGCATGTACCGCGTGCGGCTCCTGGGCCGCGGCGGCGCGGCGGAGACGAACGAGGCGCGCGTCGGCGCGGCCGTGAAGGCGCTGCTCGGCGCCGCGGCGTCGCGCCGGCGCGCGCTCGACCTGCCCCGCGCCGACACGGACGTTTTTCGGTTTGTGAACTCGGAGGGCGACGGGCTCAGCGGCCTGACGGTCGACGCCTTCGGGGACGTGCTCGTGTGCCAGATCTCCGCGGTCTGGCTCGAGAGCCGGCGAGCCGTCGTCGAGGCGGCGCTTCGGGAGGCCTACGAGGGCCTGACGGGCATCTCGGACGCCCGCGTGCTCTGGCGGCGCGCCGAGGCGCGGCTCCGCCAGGACGGCTGGGACGGCGAGGCGGACGAGATGGCGTCGGGCGACCGCTTCGCGGCGAAGGAGGGCGGCCTCGCGTACGAGGTCGACGTCTTCGGCCAGAAGACGGGCTTCTACTGCGACCAGCGCGACAACCGCGCCTTCCTCGGCCCCCTGTGCGCGGGCAAAAGCGTGCTCGACCTCTACTGCTACAGCGGCGGCTTCGCCTTGAACGCGGCCAAGCACGGCGCGACCGAGGCGCGCGGCGTCGACTCGTCGGCGACGGCCGTGGACCTCGCGCGGCGCAACGCGGCGGCCAACGGGCTGGACGCGTGCGCCTTCGAGGAGGCGGACGTGTCCGCGTGGCTCAAGGCCAGCGACGCGCGGTACGACGTCGTCGTCTGCGACCCGCCGAAATTGGCGCCTTCCGCGAAGACGCTGCCGCGCGCGACGCGCAAGTACCAGAAGATCAACGCCCTCGCCCTCGGCGCCGTGAAGCGCGGCGGCCTCCTCCTCACGTGCACGTGCTCGTCGGCGATGACGACGAGCGGCAACTTCCTGGGGGTCGTGCACGACGCCGCGCTCGACGCGGGCCGCCAGGTCACGGTGCTCCGGACCTCCGGCGCCGCCGCGGACCACCCGATCCACCCGGCCTTCGCCGAGGGCGCCTACCTCACGGCCGTGCTGCTGCACGTCCACTAAACGCCCGTGATATTAGGAGCGGTACTTGGCGTCGAGCTTCGACGCCGCGGCCTCGTCGAAGACGTAGGTCGCGACGTCGCGGAGGCCCGCGGCGGGGAAGGAGCGGAGCGTCTCCGGCGCCTCGACGGCGCGGACCATGGCGGCGCTCTTGCCCTGGGGGTACTTCTCCGAGACGCCGCAGGCCGCGATGACGACCTCCCTGGCGTTCGCGATGACGGGGAAGGACAGCGTGATGCTGCCCGGGTCCTTCATCTCCACGGGCAGGACCCACGCGTAGTCGTCGAGCACCTCGTCCCGGTCCGGGTAGAGGCTGCCGATGTGGCCGTCGTCGCCGACGCCGACGAGCATCATGTCGAAGACGGGCAGGCACGGCTCGTCGCCGTCGCAGGCGCCGTCCTCGTCCATGTTCTTGGGCAGCATGGCGACGTCCGCCAGCTCCAAGATCTCCGCGTAGCGGCAGGCCTCGGCGACGCAGTCCGACGTGCCCTCGAGCGCGACGACCTCCGCGCCTTTCCACTCGCCGAGGAAGCCGGCCATGGCCTTGGCGTGCGTCGCGAGGTTCGCGTCGTCCATGGGCACGGCCTTGTGGTTCACGTAGGCGACGAGCGTCTGCGCGGCCCAGGCCGGCGCCGTGCCCTCGAGCATCTTGAGCACGCTGCCGCCGGGGATCGCGAGCGCGAAGCGGCCGCGCTCGTCGATGGCGCGCTTCGCCGCCGCCTCGACGCGCGCCCAGACGGCCTTGCCGACCGCGTCGGCGTCGGCCTCGACGGTCACGGAGCCGGCGGGCGCCGGCGCGAGCACGTCCGCCGCGGCGCTGCGGCGGATCGAGCGCGGCGACGCATGCGTCGCGGGCGCCACGAAGGCGCCGGCGGAGGACAGCAAAAGCAGCAGCGACCTACGGGCGATTGGTTGCAAACGATGATTGCAGCCGCGTCTGGCGCCGGCGGCGACGCGACGGCGACGGACTTCATGCTCTGATCGTCAGCGTCAACATCGCCGAAGATGCCGCCAAAGAGGCAGCCCAGGTGAACGATGGCGGTCCCCTGCGCCCTGGTGGACCACCCCGACGGCGCGTTCTTCGCGGACCTCTGCGAGGGCTGCGGCGTGCGCGACGACGGGCGCAACTTCGCCCACGAGGGCCTCTGCAAGCGCTGCAACGCCAGCATCCTCGGCGCGTCCACCGACGAGCTGCTGTCGCACACGGGCGACGCGTCGCCGCTGGCGGAGAAGCTGCTGAAGAACGCGGCGGTGCGGGCCGGCGCCTTCACGTCCTGGAGCGACGACGCCGGCGAGGTCGAGGTCGCGCTGCGGCTGCCGCCGGGCACGACCGCGCGCGAGCTCGACGTCGCGACGACGTCGCGGCCGCGGCCGACGCTGCACATCGCGCGGACGACGGCGGGGACGCGCGAGCCCCTGCTCGTCGTCGATCCCCTCGCCGGCGACATCGTCGGCGGCGCCGACGAGGTCGTCTGGTACCTCGACGACGGCGTCGCGAAGGTCGTCCTCACGAAACTCCACGCGGGCCTCTGGGGCGACTCGCTCGGGAAACGGGGCGGGACCCTCGAGGTGTGGCCCGGCGGGAAATAAATGTACGCGAAGGTCGGGTAGGACGCCGTGCGAGCGCACTGAGGTTACGCGAAGGTCGGGTAGGACGACGTGCGAGCACACTAAGGTTACGCGAAGGTCGGGTAGGACGCCGCGCGAGCACGCTACGTTTACGCGAAGGTCGGGTAGGACGCCGCGCGAGCACACTCAGGTTACGCGAAGGTCGGGTAGGACGCCGTGCTCGCGATGTCCATGATGCCGTGGCCGCCCGTGCCCGCGAGGCCCCGCGCGAGGCGCACGTAGCCGGCCTCGCCCCAGGCCGCGCCCCAGGAGTTCTTGACCTTCCAGTAGGACGTGTTGGACGGCGCGTCGAAGCCGTAGCCGACGACGAGGACCGCGTGGTCGAGCTTTGTGCCGCAGTCCTTCGTCCAGACGCCGCCCGCGTAGGACATGAAACCTTGGCAGCTCGCGTCGACGACGACGGAGACGGGCTGCTTCGCGACGGCGGCGGCGAGCGCGGCTTCGCTCGCCGGCGCGACGTCCGTGTGGTTCGCGGGCGCCGACCCGGACACGATCGCGCAGCCGTTTTCGGAGGCGTGGCAGGTCGTCCAGTCCGTCGAATTCGCGCCGACGTAGGGGTACGCCGCCTCCGTGCAGAGGCCGCCGTTGGTTTCGATGTACGCGTAGGCCGAGTCCATGCCGTACCACGTGCCGTGGCAGCCGTTGTCGACGCGCTTGCCGTGCCACGTGATGTTGTCGCACTCGACGATCTGCTGCTGCGAGAACGCCGTCAGGTTCGCGCCTTTGCGGCCCGTCGCGAGCGCGAAGGCGCCCTCGAGGGCGCCGCTCGCCGCGAACGTCCAGCACGCCGCGCAGGCGCCCTGCTCGTAGACGCGCGTCACGACGCCCTCGGCGACCCAGTCGACCGAGGCCGATGTCTCGGGTGCCACCGCGTCGACCGGCGGCGCTGGCACGCGGCTCATGGGGCGCCTGTACATCGACGCGAACTCGTCCTCCGTGAGGTGCGAGAAGCGATTCAGCCCCAGCCTGAAGTCGCTGGAGTCGTGCGCCTCGATGGAGCGCAGCTTCTCGGCGAAAATATCGAGGCGGCGCTCGTAGTCGCCCGCGTCGACTTTGACCGCGTAGTCGCGCATCCACGCATCGAAGCGCGCGCGGTCGTTTGGCTGGGCCGCCGCCACAGCGAGGCAGCCCACGATAAAAGCGAGCTCCATGCTCTCTGCCACGAGAAGTGCAAGTTCAGGGAAACACTGGCTCCGCACGAGCCGGCAGAGATCGAAGCTATGAAGCTCATCAACCTTGTCGCAACGCTGCTCGCATCGGCAACGGGTTTCGCGCCGACGCCGCGGCGCGTCGCGCGACTGCCGCAGCTGCGCGCCACGACGGCGTCCGGCATCGAGTACGAGGACGTGACCGTCGGTGAGGGCCGGACGCCCAACACCGGCGACTTCGTGTCCGTCGTCTACGAGACGCGCGTCGGCGGCCGCTGCATCGATCCGAAGATCGACAAGGCCGACCTCCAGTACACGGCCGACGGCGAGCTCGTGACGTCCTTCAAGAACCGCGGCAAGCCCTGGGCCGAGTTCCAGGTCGGGAAGGGCCTCGTCATCGCGGGCTGGGACGAGATGGTGCAGACCATGCGGCCCGGCGGCACGCGGACCGTCAAGCTGCCCGCGGATCTGGCCTACGGCGACGCGGGGTCGCCCGACGGCGTCATCAAGCCCGGCACGGACGTCGAGTTCACCATCGAGCTCGTCGGCATCGCGTCGAACGCGGACATCATCGGCGGCACGGCCAAGGCCTTCGGCCTCGCCGGCGCCGCCATCGCCGCCAACGGGCTCTCCATCGCCCTCACGGGCCACGAGCTCCGCGAGTACCTCGCGGGCACGGTCTAGGCGGCCCGATAAACCGAATTACGACCCCGCGCCCGCGGCCGCGCCGTCGCCGGCGGCCAAAACGTCGCCGGCGGCCGCGCCGTCGTCGTCCCCCTCGCCGAGCGTCGACAGCGCGCCGTCCGCCTCGGCGGCCGCGAGGAGCGCGGCGGCCTCGCTCGTCAGCAGTTCGGCGTCGTCCGCGGACGCCTTGTAGGGCCGGAGCCGGCCCGCGAGGTCGTAGGGCACGCACGCGTCGACCTGTGTGGAATTCAATCACTGGTTTGGGTGGTCCTGACCAAACTTCAGAATTCTCTAGCTCGATCAAATCGAAGTCGATTCGGCTGATTTTTGGATGAATCGATTGCTCTCGTCGAGTTCTCGAAGCACAGCCGAAGCGCTTGCGTCGAAACTGTCGCATATGCGCACATTGAAGTCGGGTTGAAGATTTGAATTCCACGCACGCGTCGACGAGCGTCGCGACGTCGCCGTGGACGACGTCGTCGACGCGGCCGCGCGTCTTCACCTCCGTGAGCAGCGCCCCGAACTTCGGGTCCGCGTAGGGCAGCGCCACGCGCACGACGCAGAGCGCGTCGTCCAGCACGTCGGCGACGGCGTCGCGGAGGTCGTCGAGGCCCGACGCGTCGCGCGCCGAGCCCGCGAAGGCGTTCGGCGCCGCCGCCGCGGCCTTGCGGAGCCGCTCCCGGTCGCCGGGCGCCAGGGCGTCGCACTTGTTGTAGAACAATAATCGCGGCGTCGCGCCCGCGCCGAGCGCGTCGAGCTCGCGGTCGACGACGGCGCCGCGGGCCGCGCGCGCGTCCTCGGAAGCCGTCGCGTCGACGACGTGCACGAGCACGTCGGCGTCCGCGACCTCTTCCAGCGTCGCGCGGAAGGCCGCGACGACCTGCGCGGGCAGCTTGGCGACGAAGCCCACCGTGTCCGTGACGAGGCACTCGCGCGGCTCCGCGTCCCGGAGGCCGACCCGCCGCGTGAGCGGGTCCAGCGTCGCGAAGGGCTTGTCGTCGATGAAGAAGGTATTCTCCTCGTCGTCGCCCGAGAGCACCTCGACGCCCGTGCCGCCGCGGCGGCCGCGGATGGCCTCGGCGCTGAGCGCGTCCAGGAGACTACTCTTGCCCGCGTTCGTGTAGCCCACCAACGCGACCGTCGGCAGGCCGTTGCGCCGCCGCCGCCGCCGCGTGCGCTCGCGGTGCCTCCGTAAATCCTCGATCTTCGCCCGGAGCCGCGCGGCGCGGTCCCGTAAATTCTTCTGGTCCACCTCCATCGTCCGCCGCCGCTCCGTCGGATTCGAGCCGAACGACCCGCCCAGACCCTCGTCGTCGCCGTCGACGCGGCGCAGCATGGACGACAGCCGGGGGGTCTTGTAGAGGCACACGGCCAGGGCCACCTGCAAACGGCCGCCCCGCGTCGTCGCCCGCCGCGCGAAGATCTCGAGCACGAGCGCCGTGCGATCGAGCACGCGGACGACGACGAGATCCTCGGACGACGTCCGCCGCCGCACGCGCTCGGCCTTGTTCTCCCGCGCGCGCGCCGACGCGCCGCCGGAGACGTCGCCGCGCGCGAGCCGCTCGTACTGGCGCTCCATGGCCAGCGCCTTCTTGTTCGGCCGCCGCTCGCGCGGCAAGAGGTCGTCCATGGATTCGACCTGCAGCCGCTTCTCCAGGTTCCGCTGCTGCTCCGGGCTCAGCTCGTCGTCGAAGAGCACGACGAAGCGCGTCTCGTCGCTCGACGCCGCGCGGGCGCGCACGTCCGCGCGGATGGCCTCGACCAGGTCGCCGTCGACGAACGTGTTCGGGTCGGGGTGCGTGGACCGCTGCGTGAAGGGCCGGCCGACGACGCGGAGCCCCGCGCTCCCGGCGAGGTCGCCGAGCTCCTGCAGGGAATCGTCGACGTCGCCGGGCGCCTCGAGCCCGACGAGCACCGTCGCGGCGCCCGTCGCGTAGAGGCCGCCGTCGTCGGCGCGCAGCTCGTCGTCGGGCACGTCCCAGTTGCCCTCGGCGGCGGCGAGGCGCAGCGGGGGCACGGATCGTGGATGGACGGCGACGAAGGCCCGCGCGCCGCGGAGCGCGAGCAACGCGAGGAGGCGGTATTGCATCACGCGAACACGGCTGGGAGCGCCTCTCATCAGCGGCAGCGCTCAAATGCCTCAACGAAAGCTTCAACACGCTGAAAACTGCTCGTTGAACGTCAACTTTGAGAAGCAGTTATGGTGTGATCACGGAATCGTCGGGCTGCGTGGTGAGTAGAAGCGCTTGCAGTGGCGCGAACGCCCATGGAGGTGACGCCCATCGAGGCCTTCGACGACACCGATGGCGCGGCGCGGGCGCAGCTCAACGACACCGATGGCGCGGTGCGGGCGCAGCTCAAGGCCGAGCTCAAGGCGGAGATTTTGGCCGAGCTGGACGCGCAGGAGCTGCGCGGGCCCGAGCTGCTCGACGTGGCGCGCAGCATCAAGCCCACGATCATGGGCGAGATGGGCAGCTCGAGCGTCATGCGGAAGCGGCTTTCGACGATGGCGCGCGTCGAGACGGGCGAGGACAAGGTGCCGTCGTTCCAGCCCTTGCACGAGCGCACGGACGCGTCCTACTACTTCCGCGTGGAGACCATGGTGCTCTACGACCCGACGACGTGGCGCGTCGCCATGCACTGGGTCCTGGTGTGCCTGTCGGTCCTGCTCCAGCTGCTCGCGCTGCAGACCGTGTGGCAGGCGCTCTGGTACCCCTTCGACTTCATGAAGTGGGGCTTGTCCGTCGACGAGGCGCGACGCTACTTCCACTCGGGCATCGCCTTCCCGGCGAGCTACCGGAAGCTGTTCCACTACGCGGACGACTCGTCGCTCATGGGCGTGCCCATCATCGTCTTCGGGCCGCTGTTCTTCTGCGTCTTCGTACTCGTCATGTCGACGACGGACGAGGAGGCGTCGTGCAAGGCCGGGTATCTGCTGCTGCGGCGCGAGGTCGCCGCGGCGGACGCGCGGACGGCGAAGGTCCGTCTGGTGGCGTGCTACCTGCTGCACGTCGTGCGATTGTCGCTCGTCTGGTACGTTTCGAGGCGCGCGGGCCTCGCCCCCAGCGCGCGCGCCGCAGGTATTTTTACGACATCGCCGCGCAAATTTTGGGCACGTCCGACGGGCCGTTCAATCTGCTGCTCAACAGCCTCGCGACGGCCTTCGTGCTCGAGATCGACGAGGTCATTTTTGTGGTCATGCCGAGCCACAACTTCTACGGCGTCGAGCACGCGGACCACCGGTCGCGCTACGCGCGGCGGCTCCGGCTCGCGCGGAACCGGTTCCGCGACGCCGTCGCGGCCGTGGAGCGGGCGCCGCGGAGCCTGCGGCGCCTCTACGACGCGACGTCCTGGCTCTTCCCGCTCGGCGTCGGCGGCTGCGTCTTCCAGATCACGCTGCTCATGCAGCACTACACGTCCAAGGGGAAACTGATCGTCGTCGACGACGACTCCTACTTCGGCGCGCACCACACGCAGCTCACGAAGAGCTACAACTGGCTCGTGTACGGGCTGCTCGCCGTGATCCTCGTGGATCTGGAGGTCGCGGTGTTCGTCGTCGCCGCGGACGGCGGCGAGTCCTCCAAAGTCCGCGACGCCGCGGTCGCCGCGCGCGGCGGCGGCGCGCGCGGGCCGCGGGCGGCGGCGGCGTCGCTGGCCTGGCTCCTGTTCACGGGCGCGGTGCTCGTCGTCGCCCGCATCGTCGTCGTGCGCTGGGTCCTCGGCAACCTGCTCCCGTTTGGCATGTCCGCGGCGTCCCTGCCGCTCGACTTCTGGGACTCCGTGGACCCGACGCCGAACCGCCCGGAGGACCGCTACGACTACGACTACGACTACGGCGAGGCCGCGTACGGCAACGGCGCGGACTACGCGTACGGCGGCGACTACGCGGGGTAAACTTTTTAGAGTGCCCGCTGCGAACTCACCCAGGGCCCGGACTTGTGATCTCGCCCCCACACCCAAAAGAAACATCCAAAAGACGGCCGCGTGTAGGGCCGGGCGAAAGGGCGCGGCGCCGGGAGCGCGGGCGCGGAGGGGCGGGGGCTTCGAGTCGGATGTCGCGCGGCGCGCGCGCGCGCGCGGCGCGGGCGGTCTTCGGTCCTACGCCGCGACGGAGGGCTGCGCGAGGTCGTCCGCGTCGACGTCGAACTCCCGGTCGTCGTCGCCCTCGTCGTCGTCGTCCTCCTCCTCCTCCTCGTCGTCGTAGTCCTCGTCGTCCTCCTCCGGGTCCTCGTCGTCGTCGTCCTCCTCGTCGGAGCGGCCCTCCATGGCCTCGTCGAGCTTCTGCTGGCAGGAGGCCTTGAGGTCGTTGAGCATGCTCAGCTGCTCCTTGACAAAGTCCATCTTCTGCTGGAGCAGCTCCTTCTGCTGCGCTACCGTCCGCGCGAGGTCGAGTATGCGCGGGTCGTCGGCGGCGATGCCCTCCTCGCCGTCGCCGTCGCCGTCGAAGTCGTCGTCGGAGTCGTCGTCCTCGTCGCCGTAGGGCCCCGCGTCCACGTCCGCTTCGTTCGACCGCGCGTCGCCGTCCGCGACGGCGTCGCCGTCGGGCATCATCATGTCGTCCTCCTCGAAGTCGGACTCGTAGTCGTCGCCGTCCTCGTGCCCGTTGCCCCCGGGGCCGTCGCCGCCGCGCAGGAGGCCGATGAGCTGCGTGAGGATGGACCGCCGCTTGTCGAGGTTCGCCTCGTCCGCCTCCGGGGAGTCGAACTGCGTGTCGTGGTCGAGGATGGCGAGCTGGATGCCCAGGGACAGCACCTTGGCCTGCATGCGGCTCGCGAGCACGAGGTCCTTGAGGTGGCCCCGGTCGCCCGCGTCGAGGATGGGCTTCATCTGGCTGATCGCCCGGAGGAGCGCGACGAGCACGGCCTGGGGCGGAGGGGGCGTCGCCGTTTGGAAACGGGCGCGGGAGGGGGGCGCCGGGGGCGGCCGGGTGGGACGTCGCACCTTGCGGGACTGGGCGTCGAGCTCGACCTTGGACATGGTTTCACTTCGGCGAATCGAATCGGTGGGCGGACTGTCTTTTTGCGTCGCGGCGGCGCGGCGCTGCGCGCGTCGTGGGCTGCGGACGATGCAGGCGGGCGCGCGGAAGGACGCGCGCTCCCGGGCGTGGATCTCCACGCAGGCCTTTTTTGAAAGCAGCTCGCGGACAAAGCGCTTGGGGCTGGTTCGCGGCGCAAAGCTCGAGATCGAAATGCTGCCCCAAAAAGTCTGTGCTTCCCCTTCACCTTGAAGAATTCACGTCCAGAGTCTGGGCAGCCCGCGTCCACGACAAAAGGCGGCCCGCTCGGCGTCGGACGCCCGCGGAGGAGACGACCATGAAGCTCACGCCGCGGGAGGTCGACCACCTCCAGCTCCATCAGTGCGGCGCCCTCGCCCAGAAGCGCCTCGCGCGGGGCCTGAAGCTCAACGAGCCCGAGGCGATTGCGCTGATCGCCGCCGTGTGCATGGAGCTCGTCCGCGACGGCCTGAGCGTCTTCGAATTGATGGAGAAGGGCAAGACGCTCCTCGGCGCGCGCCAGGTGCAGCCCGGCGTGCGCGAGCTCGTCGGCGAGGTCCAGATCGAGGCGACGTTCCCCGACGGCACGAAGCTCCTCACGATCCACGACCCCATCGCGTCCGCCGACGGCGACCTGGCGCTGGCGCTCCACGGGTCCTTCCTGCCCGTGCCGGATCTCGCCGCCTTCGGCGACGCGCCGCCCGCGGCGCGGCCGCCGGGCGCGACGACGCCGCGCGACGGGTCCGTGACGCTCTGCGAGGGCCGCGACCGCGTGGAGCTCGTCGTCCGGAACGGCGGCGACCGGCCCATCCAGGTCGGGAGCCACTACCCCTTCCTCGAGACGAACAGGGCCCTGACCTTCGACCGGCGGGCGGCCCTGGGCATGCGCCTCGACGTGCCGTCGGGCTCGTCCGTGCGCTTCGAGCCCGGCGACGAGAAGACGGTGACGCTCGTCGCCTACGGCGGCGCCAGGGTCGTGCGCAGCGGCAACCTGCTCACGGACGGCGCGGCGTCGGCGGATCGGGCCGACGAGGTCATGGCCAAGGTGGCCGCGGGCGGCTTCGGCCACGCGCCGCTTCCCGGGCCGCCGCCGCCCGGCGCGCCCTTTTCCATGGCGCGCGCGGAGTACGCCGCGACCTTCGGGCCGACGCTCGGCGATGTCGTGCGCCTCGGGGACACGGACCTCGTCGTCCGCGTCGAGAAGGACTTCACGGTCTACGGCGACGAGTGCAAGTTCGGCGGCGGCAAGACGCTCCGCGAGGGCATGGGCCAGCAGACGGGCTGCGCGGCGTCCGACGCGCTCGACGTCGTCATCACGAACGCCCTCGTCGTCGACGCCGTCCTGGGCGTCGTCAAGTGCGACATCGGCCTCAAGGGCAACCGCATCGTCGGTATAGGCAAGGCGGGCAACCCGGACGTCATGGACGGCGTCACGCCGGGCATGATCGTGGGCGTCACGACGGAGGCCGTCGCCGGCGAGAAGCTCATCGCGACGGCCGGCGGCATCGACGCCCACATCCACTTCATCTGCCCCCAGCAGTGCGACGACGCCATCGCGTCGGGCCTCACGACGATGTACGGCGGCGGCACGGGCCCGGCGACGGGCACGTGCGCGACGACGTGCACGCCCGCGCCGAGCGAGGTCGAGATGATGCTCAAGGCCACGGACGGCATCCCGCTCAACTTCGGGTTCTCGGGCAAGGGCAACACGTCCGACCCCAAGGGCCTCCGCGAGGTCGTCGCCGCGGGCGCGTCCGCGGCGTCCGGGGCGTTTTCTTTTTTTGGCGCCCGGAACCGTCGCTCGCGTAGGCGCGTCGGGGCTCAAGCTCCACGAGGACTGGGGCACGACGCCCGCGGCCATCGACGCCTGCCTGTCCTTCGCCGACGAGTACGACGTCGCCGTGACGATCCACACGGACACGCTCAACGAGTCCGGCTTCGTCGACGACAGCCTCGGGGCCATCAAGGGCCGCACGATCCACACGTACCACAGCGAGGGCGCCGGCGGCGGCCACGCGCCGGACATCATCAAGGTCTGCGGCGAGCCCAACGTGCTGCCGAGCTCGACGAACCCGACGCGGCCCTTCACGGTCAACACCGTCGACGAGCACCTCGACATGCTCATGGTCTGCCACCACCTCGACAAGTCGATCCCCGAGGACGTCGCGTCGGTTTTCCCGCGTCCCTTCTTCGCGCCGCCCGGCGAGGCGCGCGCGCCTCTCGCCGTCGGTTCGCCCCCGGAGTTTTACCGCCGACCCGCGCGCCCCCGCAGGTTCGCCGAGTCGCGCATCCGCGGCGAGACCATCGCCGCGGAGGACATCCTGCACGACATGGGCGCCATCTCCATGATCTCGAGCGACTCCCAGGCCATGGGCCGCATCGGCGAGGTCATCACGCGCACGTGGCAGACCGCGGACAAGATGAAGCGCCAGCGCGGCCCGCTGCCCGAGGACGCGACGTCGGGCGACGACAACGCGCGCGTCAAGCGCTACGTCGCCAAGTACACGATCAACCCGGCCATCGCGCACGGCATGGCCGACCACATCGGCAGCCTCGAGGTCGGCAAGCTCGCGGACATCGTGCTCTGGAAGCCGAGCCACTTCGGCGCCAAGCCCGAGATGGTCATCAAGGGCGGCACGATCGCCTGGGCCCAGATGGGCGACCCCAACGCGTCCGTTTGCCGCGTCTGCCGTTTCGCACCCCTTTTTTTGAAATCCCACGTCGCCCCTTCCGGAGACGAGTTCGGGGAAGCGCCAAAATCAACACCGCGTCGCCCCCCTTCCCCAGGTCCATCCCGACGCCCCAGCCCGTGAAGATGCGCCCCATGTTCGGCGCCTTTGGCAAGGCCGTCGGCGGCACGTCGCTCGCGTTCGTGTCGAAACTCGCCGTCGAAACGAACATCCAGAACCGCCTCGGCCTCGGCAAGCTCGCCGTGGCCGTCGCGAACACGCGCGCGCTGTCCAAGAAGGACATGGTCAACAACGCCGCGCTCCCGGCCATCGCCGTCGACCCGGAGACCTTCGAGGTCACGGCCGACGGCGTCCAGCTCACGTGCGCGCCGGCGAAGACCGTGCCCCTCGCGCGCACCTACTTCCTCTTCTGAGCACCAAGCGCCCGCGCTCCCTCCTCCTCCTCCTTTTTTGTGTGTCTCCGCGCCCGCGTCTCCGTCGCGCCGCGGTCCCTCTAAATTCAAGCAAAATGAGCTCCTCCCTCAACAATCCCTGCAGTTAACCCTGCAGGCCTCCCTGCAAGCGCACTGCAAGTGAACTCATACAGCTGTATGCATTCTGCCACAACATGGGACTCAGGCAATTGGTCCTCGTCGGCGCCGGCCTCGCGGCGGCCGCCGCCGCCGCAGAACCACAAGCCGCGGAGGGCCGCGCCGCGGAGCGCCACCTGCCGCCCCTCACGACCACGACCGGTCCCGAGGAGGGCGCGCCCATCGGTGGCCACTTCGAGGAGTACGTGCTCGCCCTCGAGTTCCAGCCGGCCTGGTCCCAGGGCGACTGCGACTCGAACGTGACGAAGCACCTCAACGGGTCGCGCGCGGCGCGCGGGCTGAGCATCCACGGCCTCTGGCCGAACTTCGATTCGACGCACGAATACTCCTGGCCGCAGTTCTGTAAAAACGCGTCGCTGGACTACACGGCCTGCACCGGCGCGGCGCCGCCGAGCTATTGCGCCATCGCGCCAGCGACGCGGGCCGCCATGGACACGGCGTGGTCCACGAACTACCCTGAGTACGTCTGGAGCGACCTGGCGAGCCACGAGTGGGCCAAGCACGGCTCCTGCGCCGGGTTCGACGACCAGCTCGCCTACTTCCGGGCCGTCGACGAGCGCGTCGCGCCGAAGCTCGCGGGCGCCGGCGCGGCGCTCGTCGCGTCGAGCGTCGGCGCGAACGTGTCCTACGCGTCGCTCCGGGCCGCGTTTCTCCGCGACAGCGACGGCAAGGACGTCGCGCTCGGCTGCGAGGGCTGCAACCTGTCGGACGTCTGGTTCAAGGTCGACAGCGTCACCTTCGCGCCCGTGGACTACGGCGGCGAGTCGACCTGCGCCAAGTGCGCCGACGTCCACGTCATCGACTTCGCGGCGGAGGGCTGCAAGTAGGTGTACTGCGTGCTTCTAATTTTTGGTTTCGTCTTTCGAAAGGCTCGTGATTTGCAGCATATCCCGCCGGCGGGATATGTCAAAACACCGCATCCGCTTATACTTCAACATCAAACCATGAATTCAAGTTTCACCGGCTCCTCGTTCCGAAGCGCGTGCGCCTTCCTGCTAGCGCCGGAGGGGTGCGTACCGCGCGACGCTGCTTGCGAGGCGCCACCGTTCCTGCGCTGCCACGCGCAATCAAAGCGCCTTCCGCGATCCCACCACTCCTGCGCTGCCACCGCTCTTCTTCCACTTCCGCGCGCTCAAGACCGCCGCGCTCCTCAACGCCGCGCTCGTCGCCACGCTCGCGGCCGCGCTCCGAGTCAGGCTGCCCGCGTTCCGCGCGGCCGGCGCCGCGGCGCTCCTCTACCCCTACCTCGCCTGGATCACCTTCGCCACGGCGCTGAGCGTCGAGATCGCGCGGCTCAACCCGCGCGGCGTCGCCGCCGAGTGAGGCCGCCGCGCCACGCGCGTAAGCGCTGTAAGTATGAGCTGCGCGTTAACGACAACGATGGCACGGGATTATTGAAGTTCTTGTTGCCGCTCTCGAGGCGAACGGGCGAGGCGACTGCTTTGCGCCAGGCTGGGACCGGCGTGACAGTGCTGAGCGCCTGGAACCTGCGTCTGAGGCGAGTGCGAAGCGCCTGGGACCGGCGTCTGTGATAGCCATGCGGTGCCACTACGAGGTGCTCGGCGTCGAGCGCGACGCGTCCGACGACGTGCTCAAAAAGGCCTACCGCAAGCTCGCGCTGAAGCTCCACCCCGACAAGAACGTCGGCGACGCCGAGGCCGGCGAGCGGTTCAAGGAGCTCAACGGCGCCTACGAGACGTTGAGCGACCGCAACGAGCGCAAGTGGTACGACGACCACCGCGAGGACATCCTGCGGGGCCGGTCCGTCGACGACGACAGCGACTCGTCGGACTACAGCAGCGACGACGGCGGCGGCGGCCGGCGGCGGGGCAAGGGTGGCGTCAAGCTGAAGAAGCGCGAGGTCAACCTCTGGGGCCTCTTCAGCGGCAGCGCCTTCGACGGCTTCGGCGACGACGAGCGGTCCTTCTACGGCGTCTACGGCGGCGCCTTCGCGTCCGTCGACGCCGCGGAGGCCGGCGAGGCGACGACGGACGGCGCGCCCTTCGGCGACGCGACGAGCGACTGGGACGACGTGAAGCGGTTCTACGACCGCTTCACGGACTTCCAGAGCGCGCGGGCCTTCGCGGCCTACGACAAGTACCGCGTGTCCTCGGAGGAGGCGCGCCACGTCCGCCGCGCGGCCGAGGCCGAGAACAAGCGCGAGCGCAAGGCGGCCAAGTCCGCGTTCCAGGACATGGTGCGCCAGCTCGCGGCCTTCGTGCGCAAGCGGGACCCGCGCGTGAAGGCGCGCGCCGAGGCCGTCGCCCGGGACCGCGAGGAGAAGGCCGCGGCGGCGGAGGCGGCGAAGGCGCGGAAGCGCCAGGAGAACCTCGACGCGCGCATCGCCTGGCGCGAGCGGGCCCAGGAGGCCCAGGCCTACGAGGTGCGCTCGGGCGTCATCCTCGGCGAGGAGGCGGGCGACGGCTCCGACGGCTCCGACGACGCGGCCGAGGTCGAGGTCTTCGCGTGCGGGCCCTGCAAGAAGACCTTCAAATCGCTGAAGCAGTTCGAGAACCACCGCGTCTCCAAGGCCCACAAGAAGAAGGCCGGCCCGAACTGGTGCCCGCCCGCGCGCGCGCCCGAGCCGGAGCCCGAGCCGGAGGACGACGAGAGCGACGAGGACCTCGAGGCCGAGTTCGACGCGGGCTTCTTCTCCGCTCCGGCGGCGGAAGCGGCGGACGAGGAGGCGGACGAGGCGGCGGAGGCACCGGCGGACAGAGGCGGCGGACTCGGACACGTCCGACGACGAGCCGGCGGTCGCGGCGAACCGCTTCGGCGCCGACGACGACGACGACTCGGACACGTCCGACGACTCGGACGCGCCCGCGCCGGAGCCCGAGCCCGAGCCCGAGCCGGAGCCGGAGCCCGAGCCGAAGAAGAAGGCGCGGCGGCGCGCGAAGAAGGACAAGGAGGGTCCCGCGGCGTGCCCGCCCGTCGTCGACGAGCCCAAGAAGAAGGGCGGCAAGAAGGGCAAGAAGAAGGGGAAGCACGCGGAGTCGAGCGACGACGAGTCCGCCAGCATGAAGTGCACGGGCTGCAGCGCCACGTTCCCATCGCGCTCGAAGCTCTTCGCGCACCTGAAAGCCAACCCCGGCCACGCGAAGCTTAAGCGGTAGTTTTGTTGTTCATCGGCGGGGCCGCGTCGCGCGCTCGTCCCAGACGGCCCGCTTGCGCTCGCTGCCGGACTCGCGCGCGCCCGAGGCGCCGTCGAAGGCCGCGCGGAGCCGGGCCTTGAGCTTGTCCGCGGCGGTCTTCTTCGGCGGCTTGGGCGCGCCGGCGCCGGGGAGTTTCGGGAAGCGGCTCCGGTTCGACCGGTCGCGCGCCGCGTTGTCCGAGAGCTTCGTCCGCTCCTCGTGCGCCGCGGCCTTGGGGCAGCCCTCGTAGCGGCAGCGGTCGTCGGCGCAGCGGGCGACGTGCCTCTTGAGCCGCCGGTCCCGGTCGCGCTCTTTGACGTCGAGGTCGCGCGCGGCGCGCGCGCGGGCGAGCGCCGCGAAGAAGACGTCGAGCGTCTCCGCGTCGCCCTCGGACGACGACGACGAGCTGCGGCCGTCCGCGTCGGCGCCGCCGAAGGCGGCGACGTAGCGCCGCTCGCCGCGCTCCGACGACGACCCGCGGTCCGACGACGACGAGCGGCGCCGCCGCCGTCGACCGCGCGCGGACGAAGACCCGCGCGACCCCGACGACGACGACGACGACGACCGGCGTCGCCGCCGACGCGCCGGCGACCGCGACGACGAGTTCCTCGATCGTCGCGGCGACGGGCTCCGCGACCGCTTCCGCGGCGACGGCCGCGACGACTCCGAGCTCCTCGATCGTCGCGGCGACGGGCTCCGCGACCGCTTCCGCGGCGACGGCCGCGACGACTCCGAGCTCCTCGATCGTCGCGGCGACGGGCTCCGCGACCGCTTCCGCGGCGACGAGCTCCTCGGGCTCCGCGACCGCTTCCGCGGCGGCGGCCGCGACGTCTCGTCGACGACGGCGCCCGCGGCGGCGCGCCAGCCGCGGCGCGACGCCTCGAGGTGCAGGTTGTCCGTGTTGTGCTGCGCGGCGCGGAACGCGTCGAGGTAGCGGCGCTCGGCGCGCGCCGCGGCCGCGTCGCGGCGGTCCGCGCGCCGCAGGCGCGAGAAGGACGCGCGGCCGCGCGGCGCGAGGCCGTAGTCCGCGGCGAGAGCGTCTACGGCGCCGTCGCCGAGCGCGTCGTCCAAGTCGCCGTCGAGCGCGCGCCGCGCGCCCAGAAGGTCGCCCGCCTCGACGAGCTGCGCCGCGCGCCGCGCGCCGCCGCCGCCGGAGCCCGCGGATCGGCTGTCGTCGTCGTCGAGCGACTCCGGCTCGCGCTCCGTCTCCCGCGACGGCCGCGTGCACGGCGCGCCGCGCGTCGTCATCGCGGCGGCGATCGACGCCCGCGGCCCGTCGGGCCGCCGCGCGCGCCGCGGCGCGGCGCCGCCGGCGACGGCGCGCGCGCGGCGCAGCTGCGACGACGGCGACCGCCGGTGCCGCGCCTGCGTGGACATCAAATCTTCAACACGACTTCAATGTGTGCGTAATTGAACAGAGTGGACCGGACTCTTCTGCCGTACTTCGAGAACTCGACGAGAGAAAACGATCCGTCCAAAAATCAGCCCAAACGACTTCGATGTGACCGAGCTCGAGAGGTTTCCCACACGGTGCCGCGCGGCGTGGAGCAGGGACCGGTAGCGCTCGTAGTCGACGAGCGCCGCGGAGAGGCCGCGGCGGCCGCGGTCGGGCGCGCCGCCAGCGTCGGCCCAGTCGCAGCGCGCCTCGGCGCCGCCGTCGTCGCGCGCGCCGAGGTCCAGCGACGTCGCGTTGGCGCGCGCGTCGAAGCGGTCGATGAGCGTGTCGTCGCGCCCGTCCCAGGGCAGCAGCGCCTCGGCGCCGACGTCGCGGCCGCGACGGACCTTGACCTTTGCGCCGACGACGGCGAGGCCCATGGCGCTCGATTCCATCGCTACCAGCGTCTGCTCATACTCTCCCCTGTGGGAACTGCGGCACTGTGGCAATTTTGCGGCAGCATCCACCTCCTCAGCTCGCCGCGAGCAGCTATGACGGCCTAGCCGAGGCCTCGCGTCGCTAGCCTCGCGTCGACGACCATGAACCACGCCCTCATGCTGGGCGCCTTGGTCGCTTTGGTCGTCTTCTCCTTATTAGCATCGCAGACGCACATCAACGGCGCCTCGGAGCGCATCACGCGCGCGGAGCACGCCGTCGCCGAGGGCGTCCACGGCCTCGAGTCCTGGCTGGCCCACCCGAAGTCGCTGCACCACGACACGGCCGTCGACGCGCCGCGCCACCTGCGGGGCGACATGGCCGCCTTCCTCGACCGGCTCGAGGCCGTCGAGGCGCGCAGCGTCGTCTTCGAGGAGCAGGCGACGGCCGCGCCGAGGCCCTCGAAGACCGCGGACGAGAAGACCACGAAAACGACGCAAGCGGGCCTCGACGCCCTCGCGAAGCGCGTCAAGGCCGACGAGGCCAAACTCATCGCCGAGGAGAAGCAGGACGCGACCGTCGCCAAGCTCGGGCGCGGCGCGCGCAGGGGCGCCGTGCCCGGCAAGCTCGTCTGCGGGGGAGAACCCGTGGAGCACGAGGTCGTCTACTGGAAGGAGGTGCCCGGCGACCTCGCCTACGAGTCGCCCATCACGCCGCACCACGCGGACCACGCGACCTCGTACCTGACCTTCGAGTACGACATGGGCGGCTGGAACAACATACGCATGGGCGTCGAGTGCGTCGTCGTCCTCGCGCACGCGACGGGCCGGACCTTGGTGGCGCCGCCGGGCCAGAATTTGTACCTTCTGGGCGCCCCGACGGTCGACGCGTCCACGGGCAAGAAGTCCCACAAGAAGTTGGGCTTCTCCGACTTCTTCGAGTTCTCGCGCCTCAAGAAGCAGGAGGGCATGCACATGCTCACGATGGCCGAGTTTCTCGCGAAGCAAAGCACCGAGGTCGACGCGGCGAAGCGGCCGCCGCAGAACGCGACGGACCTCTGGGGCAAGGAGCTCTGGAAGTATTTAGGGGCCGTCGCGGACGCGAAGCCCGCGTACGGCGGCAGTTTGGTGGCCATGGCGCGCCTGAACCCCACGGCGGAAGAAAAGAAGCAGGACGCGGCGGCGCTGGAGAAGTACGCCGGCGCGCGGCGCGTCGCGACCTACGACGCGGAGACGCGCGCCGCGCGCCACGTCCACGTGCCCGCGGCCGGGAAACACCGGCTCCTGAACCACTTCTACGCCTTTGGGTTCTTCGGCGACCCGGACCAGCGGAGCTTCTACCGGCGCTTCATCCGCGACAACATGCGGTACATCGACGACATCCAGTGCGCGGGCGCGCGTTTGGTCGACGCCGTCCGCGCGACGTCGCGAAAACTGGGGCAGAACGGCGACTTCTACGCGCTGCACATCCGCCGCGGCGACTTCCAGTTCAAGGAGGTGAAGATCTCCGCGTCGAAGATCGTCGAGAATCTGGGCGGCCACCGCGTCATCCCCGCGGGGGCGCTCGTGTACCTGGCCACGGACGACCCGGACGGCGTCTGCAAGAACTGCATGGTCAACCGCAAGCCCTGCCCCGTCGGGCCCGCGGCCGCGGGCGTCGCGGGGTGCCAGGTCGACCCGTCCTGGGACGCGTTCCGGAGGAACGGCTGGGTCGTGACGACGATGAAGAACTACACATCGGAGCTCGCCGACGTGAACCCGAACTACTTCGGCATGGTCGACTCCATCGTCTGCAGCCGCGCGGCCGAGTTCGCGGGCACCTGGTTCTCCACCTTCACGGGCTACATCCACCGCCTCCGCGGCTACCACGGCCTCGGCGAGCACACCTACTACCACTCCACGGGCAAGGTCGACCTCGCGAAGTCGCCCCGGTCCATCGGCAGCGGCTACGCGCGCGAGTTCCGCATCGGCTGGACCGACGACGAGGGCGGCCTCATTCGATAGTAGTAGAATCGCAGCCGAGACCGCGAGGTCCGCGAGGGCCGCGGCGCGGGGGTCCACCTTCAAACGCCGCGAGTGCAAGTTGCAGGGAAAGACCGGCCTGAGCTCCGGTCGGGCATGGGCGCTCGTTCGTGCTAGGAGACTGCTGAGCGACGCGCGACGGTCGGTCGGGGTCCTGCAGCGCCGCGCACGCGTCGCCAACGAGTCGGTGATCATGCCGGACCCGGCGAGCATCACTGCGCACGTTCGCGCCCTCGCAAAACCGCAGACGGCGCAGCGGGCCGCGGAAGCGCTGCGCATTCTGTCGGCGGAGGAAGCCGACCTCGGCTCCGTCGTCGATGCCGGAGCCATACCGGCACTAATCAGCGTGCTGCGCGATGGTAGTGATGACGCCAAGTCGGTGGCCGCCGCAGCGCTCTGGAACATCTCGGTGAACGACGGCTACAAAGTCGTGATCGCCGAGGCCGGGGCGATCTCGCCGCTGATTTCTCTCGTGCGCGCGGGGAGCGCCCTCGAACAGTTCAAAGCCGCGGGGGCGCTGCGCAACCTCAGTCTTAACAAGGACAATGCGGTGGCCGTCGCATCGGCCGGCGGGATCCCGGCGCTTGTTGCGCTCGTCAAGAACGGCAACGATGACGGCAAGCGCTTCGCCGCTTCGGCACTGTGGAGCCTCTCAGTGTTGAATACTAACAAAGTGACCATTCGCGAGGAAGGTGGAATCGCCGCGCTCGTGGATCTTCTCCGTTGCGGGAGCAAACGCTCGAAGCACGAGGCATTCGGGGCGTTATCGAATCTCGCCTGGGGGGGGGGCTCCACAAAAAAGGAATGCAGGGTCGCCATCGCGGCGGCCGGCGCGATCTTGCCGCTCGTCGCTTGCTTGCACGACGGCATCGACAAGGCGAAAGCCGCCGGGATTCTCTGGAGCCTCTCGGACAACGACAACTGTCGGATCGACATCGCGGCGGCCGGCGGCATTCCGCTCCTTTGCGCAGCCTTGAGCGATGAGCACGATGCCACGAAGGGGCAAGCTGCGGGGGCTGTGCAGTGCCTATCAATAAACGTCGAGAACCGCGTCCTTATTCACACGGCGGGCGGAATCCCACCGCTTGTCTCGCTCGCGCGCCACGATCGCGACGCCTTCAAGATTCGCGCCGCGGGCGCGCTTTGGAACCTGTCCGTGAATGACGAGTGCAAGATCGCCATCCACCAAGCCGGTGGCATCCCCGCACTTGTTGATCTCCTGCGCGTCAGCGGCCTCGTTCAGGAGAAGGCGTCCGGGGCGCTGGCGAACCTCGCGTGCAAGCCCGACGTCGCGGTCGCTATCGTCGAGGCCGGCGGCATTCCTGCCCTGGTGGCCGTCGTGAGCCTGAGCAACAGCCGCGTGGCCAAGGAGAAGGCCTTGCGCGCGGCGTTTCACCTCGCGCACATCGACGACGCGCACCGAATCGCAATGTTCGAGGCCGGCTCAGTTCCGCCGCTCGTCGCAGTGCTACGCGACGGCAACGACGTCATGCGGGAACACGCGGCGGGGATCTTGTGCGACATGACCGTTATACAAGAGGCCGGAGTCGCTTGCATCCAGGCCCATGCGCTTCCTCCTCTCGTCGCCCTGCTACGAGAGGGTAGGGGCCGAGCCAAGGAGAACGCCTGCGGAGCAATTGAGAACATACTTTGGGACAGGAACGACGCGAAGGACTCCGCCGTGGCGCTCGGCGCGATCCCACTGCTTGTTGCAATGGTACGCACCGACGGCGCCGTCTCGGCAGTGGCTGTCTTACGAGGCTTGTGCCTGATCGAAAAGCATCGGGTCGAGATCGTCGAAGCGGGCTGCATTCCGCCGCTGCTCGCCGTTCTGAGCGCCGGTAGTGATTATACCAAGGAGGATGCCGCTGCTACGCTGGGGAGTCTGTCAATAGAACGAGAAGGCCAAGTCGCCGTCGCCAAGGCCGGGGGCGTCGCTCCGCTCGTCGCGCTCGAACGGGACGGCAGCGACGCGGTCAAGTCGATGGCTACGCTGGCGCTGAAAAAACTCACGTGGAATAACGCCGACAACGAAGCCGCCGTCGCGGCGGCGAGGGCCGCGGCGGAGGTCGCCGCCCACAAGGCGAAGACCCTTGCGCTGGAGAAGCGCATCGTCGACCTCGAGCGCGAGCTCGAGGAGCGGACCGCGCGCGGCGACCGCCTGCGGCTCAGCCGCGACGAGCTCCAGGCGCGGATCGGTGAGTTTTCGCGCGTGTTGAATCGCCCCAACGCCCACGGCGTCCTGGCGCGCGCCGAGGCGGGCGCGGCGCTCTCCGACCTCCGCGACGAGGCCGCGGAGCTCAAGGCGACCCTCGAAGACGCGACGAGCTGCGTCGTATGCTTTGGCGCTCCGCGTTCCGTCGTCCTCCTCCCGTGCACGCACGCGTGCCTCTGCCCCGCCTGCGCCGCGAAGGTCGAGTCGTGCCCGGCCTGTAGCGTCGCGATCGCGAGCCGGAGCGACTTTATATTGTGGTAGCGTTATCTAGAGCAGCGCGCCGTTGCGGACCTCCTTCTCGAGGTCCTCGCACGGCTTCGCCAGCGCGGCGACGCGGGACGAGTGGACCCGCAAGATGTAAGTTGAAGCGGGGTTTAACGCACCCCAGCCGGCGGGCTATGCGACTAGACCGCGAGGTTCGCGAGGGCCGCGGCGAGCGGGTCCTTCTTCCGCCGCGAGAGGACCTTGCTCGCGATTTTCGCCTCGCGGGCCACGTCCGGGTCGCCGTCGTCGCCGAGGCGCGTCGCGGCGTCGAGCGCCAGCCGGCGGTCGCCGGGGCTCGCAAAATGGGGCGTCGCGAGGAGCCGCGCGGCTCCGAGGCGGACGACCGGCTGCGCGTCCAGCGCCGCGGACATGGCGAGCGCCGCCGCGGCCGCGCGCGCGCGGTCCGCCGGCTCCGGAGGCAGCGCGCCGAGCACGCCGGCCAAATCCAGCGCCAGCACGAGCGCCAGCTTCCGGTCGCGCTGCCGCGGCGACGTGCCCAACCGGTGGAGCTCCGGCAGGACCACGGCGTCGAGCCAGCGCGCCGCCGTCGCCGGCGGCTCGCCCCCCGCGGCGCCGTCGCGCGCGTCGAGCGCCGCCGCCGCGCGCGCCGTGGCGCACAGCGCGCGCGCGGCCGCGCGGCGCACCTCGTCGACGACGTCGAACGAGAGGCCGTTCGCCAAATTCGACAGGTTCCGCAGCGCGCGGTCCGCCGCGCAGCAGGGCGCCAGCGCCGGGACCACGGCGACGGCCGCGGCGCGCACGCGCCAGTGGCGGCTCGTCGCCAAATCCTGGAGGCTCAGCACGAGCTTGGCGACGTGGTGGTGTTCGAGGAGCGCGCGCAGCCCGGCGCACCGCGCGTCCAACCGCTCGTCCCCCCCGGCGCTCGCCAAAGCCCGGAGCGCCGTGCAGGCCACGTCGGGCACCTCGTCGTTGACCAAGATGAGCAATAAGGGAAAAATGGCGCGGTCTAAAGCGCTCGTCTCGCCGCCGTCGTCGTCGCTGTCGTCGCTCTTCTCCGCCGCCGCGGGGGCCGGCGGCGGCGCCGCGCCGCCCAGGACGTCGGCGCAGAGCATGTCGAGGAACCCACCGACGGCGGCGGCCAGCGCCGCCCGCGCGTCGGCGTTCGGGTCCGACGCGAGGCGCGTCGCCGCGGGCGTCAAAAGCCCCAACGCGTCGCCCGACGACGCGGCGCCCCGGAGCGCCGCGCGCGCGACGGCCGGCAGGGCCCGCGCGGCGGCGCAGCGCACGCGCACGTCCGCGTCCTCCACCAACGAGTGGACCTCGTCGACCAGGATCGCCGACCGCTTCGGCCCGAAGGCGTCGCAGAGCGCGCCCGCGCGCCGCGCGGCCGCCGCGCGGACCTCGGGCGCGGCGTCCTCGGCGAGCGCCGTCGCCACGGGCATGAGCTTGCAGTGCAATAAATGCACCTCCTCGGCGCGGGACAGCGCCGAGCCCGCGCGCGACGCCTCTAACGTCGCGGGCAGCGCGGCCGCGAGCGCGAGGCACGCGTCGAGCGCGCCCCGGCGC